GGCAACTCTAGAATTACACTGATACCAGCTCAGAATCTAGCTCTGTGCTTCTATCAGGGAGCCAGTTAAGCCATGGCAGGGGGCTAATGAGGCTTGGACAGTACCATGATCAGCATCTGTGCCTGTGTTATCGACCCCCAGTCTCTGAGTACTGGCGGTGGCACTGCGTTGTCAGAGACAGAGGAGACAAGGCAGGGAGAATGAGTGGCCTTCTTGGAGACAAGGCTGGTTTGATTCAGGTGCTAAATTGTTTCTGTCTCCCCCTGTAATTGAGTGATTTGTCACCCTTGTGGCAGAGATGAGATCAAGACAATGACAGGAGAGCCTTAGGCAGCGCTGCTGAAGATGGGGAGATGTGGCAGAGTTGAGAAAGGAACCCAACAGGCACATCTAAACCCATGGGTCCCAACACAAACATGAATCCAGACACTAGATTTCACATCGTCCCTTTGTGCTCAGGGACTGTGTCTTGCCCACAGCTGAAGGAGGATGTATTGCCTAGTGGTTACAGTACTGGATAGTGAGGGAGGCAGCACTCCTGGGTTCTCTAGTCCCAGTTCTACTGATTTACTATGTAACTTGGCAACCCTTACACAGCAGAGTGTCCCACTTAGGCCAAAGTCCCCCCAAGCCAATGGCATATTGGGCTGATGTGGTAAAGGCACATTGGTTTCATAGCCAGCCCTGCGCCAGCATCACGCCCACCAGCCTTCAACTGCCCTGGCGCAACGAGTCATATACCCGTGTTACACCTGGGTGAAATGGAGATGGCTTTTCAGTCTGAGAACAAGAGGCTTGAACCCACCACCTTCAGGATTGCAGGCAAGGCCATAAGCGCTCAGCATTATGTACACTCAGAGAAGGGTTTTCCTCTTTTCATGTTTCTGAGCCAGCTATGGAAAAACCCTAATCCCCTGCTCTTATGGAAGGAGATGAGCTGTTCCCCAAATAACCCCGAGGATCTATTAGACTGAGAATCAATGGCATGTCTTCAAAGCAGACTGGCTTGAATTCCCTCTTCCTGGTGCTGCCAGGAGACATATTAGCCCTTGAGCGCAGGAGAGGCCCAACTTCCCAGCCTGTAAAACATGAAGGAAAGGGAAGCAAAGAGGACAGGAGCCTCTCAGCTATATCAGTATGTAGCTTTGTATGAAGAACTACAATGGCAAGGTCTGTGTTGCCTACAGCTTTCCAACCCTGCTGTCTGGTCTGGGCTCGCTTTCTCTTCCCACATTGAGTGCAGCCTCCCCCGCTTCAGAGCAAGTCTCATGTCAAAGTGCTGGGGATGGCATCTCTTCCCACAGGAAACTAATCCACACTCTCGCTGTCAGGCACTGCTGGTGGCCCCCCTAGACTTGCTCACCCCCTTACAAACAATCTGTGTTCATAAGGGAAGGCGGCTGGTTTCACTCTATTCCCCCCGGCCAGTTAAGTAACCGTACTTTTCTTAGAAGGTTCATCTCTCTAGTTAGAGCAATTAATTAGGCTGAAGTGGAGAACAGATGTAACATCGGTCCCTGAATTTAAATGCCACAGCGGGGCCTCTTGCGCAGTCCTCTGGACTGTTTTGTCCAGAATCTATGCCTCCTGGCTGTTACTACACTGAGCCTGGCCTCCTTTGTGAAGCTCTTGTGAGATTTACAGCTGAGAAGTGCCAGTTGAAAAGTCAGTTTTGTTATTCAGGTGTCAGGGGGTCCACACCCCCGTGCACCTCAGTGCCCCCTGACTGTCTTCATATAGCCCATCTCAGGGCAGAATACAGTCTGTATGGGTTGCTCATCATAGGCATTTGGGCTTATCTCCGTGGCCCCGCTTACCTAAGCCAGGCTGCAACCTGTCTCCATGCCCAGGCCTTTCCTTCGGCCCCCCCATCGGGGTAGCCTTAGCCGGCCTTCTCCCAGCTCTAGCTGGCTAGCCCCAGCAGGTCTCCCTCCTGGGAGCTCCTGCTTCCTCCACAGCCAGTCCCTCACTGGCCTCTCTCCTCCCTTGAGCAACCTGGGCTTCTCTATATATACACACACAAGCCAGCTGTGCTCCTGCTCGCTCTAACGGGTTCAGCTGGCTTCTACCAGCCATTCGTGCAGTTCTAGATCTTTGCCAGCTGGGCCCTCTCTAGCCCTAATTAGCTCCCGCTGGCCTCCTCTCTGCGAGCCCCGGCTCCGGGACGGAGTCCGAGTATTAAAGGGCCAGTGCAGGGCAGGCGCCCTGTCACATCAGGCTTTGCTGCTCTGTGATTCCCATTTCTCAGCCGCCAAAGATCTGGTTCCATTCCTGCAGTTATACTGACCTCTGCTGGCATGGGAAGAATTGGACAGGCCAGCTAGCCCATGTCCCTTCTTTCAAAAAATCCTCAACTCCTCCTGACTCACACCTGCTTGGACACCCAAAAGCTTCTGCCCAGTTCAGGAGCCGGGCAGTGACAATTCCCCTTGGCACCTCACAACGATTGCTGTTCTCATGTGAGTGCAAGCTTTATGCTGTCTTACTAACAGACGGATGGGGGCCAGAATGTGGGCCACGGTATAGAGCTCCACTCAGACCCCTGCACCACCTGCTATCTGCATGGATCCCATTTCAGGAGCCTTAGTGCAAAAATTTGTATTAAAGCTAATGATCACATGAAAGTTTACAAGATGCAAGTTAAAAGGGAAGGCACTGTGCATCCAGGGTCGAGTTTGGGTTATGAGGAATTACAAGGAGCAGTTTATATGGTTAACAAGCTATGTATTAGAACTACAAATATAACCACACAGCAGTTAAACCAGGATGCATGGAGAGGACCTCCCTTACTTATTTCTGTAATACTGACAGGCCTCAGAGGAATTGGTTTTGCTCTGAGTAGTTCCTCATGCTGTTCCCTTCGTCTCAATTGACCAGCTCTTCATTTTCCTACATTCCTTCCTAGCTCTTTTTATTTCCAACTAAGAAAATTTGTCAGGTAATTACGACAACTTTTGTCTTTGAGGCATTCAATGGCTAACCAAGATCAGAAATCTCGAGGAGTAGACCATGGTTGCCAATGGCACACCTCTGGCTCAATGGAATAGCAGGGCCCAGACTGCCTGCACAGGAGATTCAGCATACCTGGTCTGACCTGTGGAATGAATTCCTCCAGGATTTGAGGACCAGCGCTCACCTCAGCACCTCCACTCTCAGACTACGTCGACTGGCATGATTTTCTGGAAATGCTTTTAACGGAAAAGTTTTCCGTTAAAAGCATTTTCGGAAAAGAGCGTCTAGATTGGCATTGACGCTTTTCCGGAAAAGCACTTTTTGCGGAAAAGCGTCCGTGGCCAATCTAGACGCGCTTTTGCGCAAAAAAGCTCCAATCGCCATTTTCGCGATCGGGGCTTTTTTGTGCAAAACAAATTTGAGCTGTCTACACTGTCCCTTTTGTGCAAAAGGGACTTTTGCCCGAACGGGAGCAGCATAGTATTTCTGCAAAAAGCACTGATTTCAGACAGTAGGAAGTCAGTGTTTTTGCAGAAATTCAAGGGGCAGTGGAGACAGCTGGCAAGTTTTTCCAGAAAAGCAGCTGCTTTTGCGGAAATTCAAGTGGCAGTGTAGACAGCTGGCAAGTTTTTCCAGAAAAGCAGCTGATTTTCCGGAAAAACTGGCCAGTCTAGACACAGTCTCAGTGTAAGGCGCACTTCTCCCACCTCTCTTCTCAAACACACCCAGAGCAGCAAGCACATTTTAAAAAAATCCTCCCAAAACGAAGTGCATCATTGCACACACAAATCTCCTCCAAGGCAGAATGGACTGTGTGTGATAGATGTTAGTCACAGTGCTCAGCGCACAACTGGGAAACATTATAGTGAGAAGGACACTGTAAAAACCTTTATGTACCAGAATAGTCTGTAAATCCTAAATTCCTTCTGCAATGACAATACACGGCTGTTCTAGGGCATTGCTGCATGATTGATACAGTAACAGAAGTGAGAGATGGAGAAGCTATTTAGGTTATTCTGTTGATCCTCTTTGCTAATGCAGGACAGGGTGATACATATGGTAGTGATGGATGACAAATTAAATGCTGCTTAGCAGATACACTTACACTGGGGGTGTAGACAGCTCTGCTTTGTGCTGGGACTCCTCTGGTAATGAGGGTCCCAGAAATGCATACAGAATTGCAGGAGCACTCACATACACATGAGAACCCCAAATAGAAGAATTACCATGTCTTAGCTTTGTGAACTGAGACATCAAGTCACATATGCTGCTTAAAACTGGAACAGAGAAACTGCCAGACTGGACCAGACCCATGGTCCATCTAGTTGGTCCAGTCTCCATCTCTGAGAGCAAACAACACCTGTGCATAAGCCCTATATGGGAAGGAATCCAGATACTGCTTTGGGATGAAGACAATATTACCAACTTCAAGCATTGAAAAATTGTAAGAGAGATTAAAAATAATCTTGGGATTTCTAAGAACTGATAATATGGAGGTTCCATTAATTTGTCTTCTGGTTTCTAAATCTTTCAGTTGCACTCACTTGATATTTTCAAATTTTTCTCTTGAATCACAAACAAGGACTAGAAACATACTTTTTAAAAAAGCTTATGATCATCCGGCTCCAGCAGCTGGAGCTTTACCAAATATTGTGGCATAGGCAATGCAGTAAGAGCCAGCAATGCTGTAAAAGGCACCATCATCATTACCATAAGGATGCCCAACAGTTCCCTTTATAATGTAGCAAGTGAATGGCTCAGAGCTCCTGCCTGACTCGTAGAGTGGTCACCAGGACCAAGCCCACACTCCCCTTCGCTGCAGCCTGCAACCCACCAGCCAGGCACTCCATGTGAGTGACACATCAGGACCCCATTTTGTAGCTAGCAGTCACATGTGCCTTGATAAAATAAACCCATGGCGGTTCTCTGCCTGGAGTCGGAGTCTCTAGCTCTTCACCCCGTGATGAGGCTGTGCCCCCCTGGTCAGGTATATTTTGTAACATTTCCAGTCAGGCACTAGCAGGGACAGCCCTTCCCGGCCCGCCTCCCGCAAGGCGGGACGTGCTGGGCTGGGGACTTCTTGGTGTGTCAAAATGGCGGCGCCCATGCTGAGGGGGGCGCTGTACGGAATGCGGGCCGGGCGGGCGTTCGGTACCGCGGGTGAGTGGCTGGGGGACCCGGCCCTCCACAAACATGGCGGCGGGGGCGCGGGTCCCGGGAGTCCGGCGCGGGTGGGTCTCGCTCGCTGCGTGCCCCGGGGGGAGCAGCGCCTGGACCCCTCTCCCGCTGGCTGGGCGGGCAGCCGCCTGTGCCAGGGTCCCCGAGCGGCTCGGTTCCCTTCCCGGCTGCCGCCCCAGCCCCTCCCAAGGACAAGCTGGCTGGGCGGCCCGCGGCCTGTGCCCCCCGCGGGCGGGGGATCCCGGTCCGCCGCCAGCCAGAAGGGAGGCGAAATGTGCGGGGCAAACCCAGCCAGGGGCAACCCACAGATGAGTCTGATTTGGGCCGTGGTTTCCCAGCGCATCTTATTTAACCTCCCCTCGCCCCCTCCCCTCCCCTCCGGGCTCTGCTGGCTGGGGGAACCTTGGCAAGTGCCTGCTCGCTGCGCGCACCCCGGAGCCAGGGGAGGAAGCCAAAGGGATGGGG